AGAACATTTGATATTGATCACTTCACAAAAAAACTTGAAAAGTACTGAAATTTTATAGCTTGCTTGTAAAAACACCTTCACAGAGGCTTTCCAAAGTTGGACAATGATTCTACAAATTTACATGATGAGCTGTGAAGAAAGCTCTTTTAAACTCTTAATAATAGAAAACTAATTTTGAGTCACCATGATGCTCTCTCTCTGGAAATACTATTTCCAGATTATTTTCATATGACAAAGAGATCAAAGAACATGCAACAAAACCTGTGAGGAAAAATATTAGAGGTGTGTTAGAGAATTAGTATATTATTTTTATGGATTTCATAATGTTTATAATATTTGTTAGCTCTTAAAATTTTACTGTCTTTTCCTTTCTCATTTGAAACTTTTACTTTTGTGTGTAATTTTGTACTTTTTTCCTAAGAGGAACCCACAAAACCAAAGAAGCTTGAAGTCTGTAAAATTAAGATCAGGCTTTGACAAATATTTCATCTTCCTCAACTCCTTGCCTTGAGGTCTTAACTCCCAACTCTGGATTAATCTCATCAAACAAATGTAAAAAAAAATAACTGATCAGAAAGTCATCCTTTATAACTCCCCCTAAAATAAACAATCCAGACAAGGATAACCACTGATGCATACAAAAACCGTAAGGCAAAAAGTTACTGGAAAGAAGTTATTTGCATGATGTCCAAGTGTCACCTCATATAGTACTTGCTAATTCCAAAGGGATAAAGGTGCCCTTACAATGGAGACTGCCTTAACCAAGTGATTAAACTTATAATTCCTAACAAAGGGACAACCTGGCATTTATGTCCTTCCTGATATAATACAGTATGTATCTTTCCTATGGAGTACTACAGCAGAAAAAAAAAAAAAAAAAGTTTAATCTGAATCTAAGTAAAGCTTTAGACCTAACTTTCAGGTTCCAGAAATGCAAACTTCTTTAACTTGTCCCTCTATCCCTTCCAGAAATGCAAGAGATAGAGGGACAAGTTAGACAAGCCCAAAAGGAAATAAGCAGACAAGTCTAGAGTGTGAGATATTCTACACAACACAAGGCCTGGTATCTTTAAAATGTCAATTTCATGGAAAAATAAAAAGGTGGAAAGGCTGTCTTGGAGTAAAAGAATAAAGAAATATAATAATCAAAGGTAATATGTGAATTTTGGATCCCGGTTCTCCTTCAGCCACAACAGTTATTAAAGAGAACTGAACATTAGGAAAACTTGAACATTAACCAATTAACAAACAACATTAAGGAATTACTGTCAATTTTCTCTTGCATGACAACAGTGGTTTTCTAAAATTTAATTTTATGTTTAAAAAATGCCTGATGAAGTTTTTAGGGGTGAAGTTACCATGTTTACAACTTACTTTCAAATGGTGCATCAACTTTTCTTTATGTTTGAAAATTTATAAACATTTCTGAAAATAATAAAAAGTTGAAATGAGTAGAAAAATAAACATTAAAAAATTGAAACTGAAAAACAAGTACATTGATAATTTTATGGTAAAAAATTGAAACAATTAGAAAAATAAAGATATTTTTCTCTCATTTAATCAATCTAGCCAAAGAGGTTTTTAGTTGAGTCAAAGTAGTTTTATCCTTACCAAATATTATCAGTGAAGCAATATCTAAAGCCTAGGGGGTAGTGCTTTCAGCTGCCATATTTTACCAAATACAGTGGATCCTTGAACAACATGGGTTTGAACTATGCAGGTCCACCTACATGAGGATTTTCTTCCACCTCTGCTACCCATGAGACAATAAGACCAACCCCTCCTCCTCAATGTGAAGATGATGAGGACAAAGACCTTTATGATGATTCACTTCCACTTAACAAATAGTAAATACATTTTCTCTTCCTTATGATAATCTTAATCACATTTTCTCTAGAGTGCTGTAACAATACAGTTTATAATATACGTAACATACAAAATGTTCATTACTTGACTGTATATGTTATCAGTAAGGCTACTGATAGTTAAGACTTTGGGGTGTCAAAAATTACACACAAATTTTCAACTACATAGGGGCTAAGCACCTCTAAACCCCAAGTTGTTCAAGGGTCAACTGTAATATCCCAGGGCCCAAATGCAGCCATGCCCTGCTTATTTCATATTTTCAAATGGCTTATGAGCATTTTTAAACTGCTGTCATTCAGGATGAAAAAAATCAAGCAGGAACAAAGGGAAGTATGGAGTAGAAGTCAAACAAACAAATAACAGCTGATGTATTAATTTTAGAAAGAAAAAGAAATTAGGTATGATTCTATTTAGGAACAGTGTACATATTCAGTGACTTATTTCATAATAAAAGGGTTGAGTACTTCTTATTGTTCACAAAGAGGTCTTTCGCATATGATTCCTCAAAACTGATTTATTAAACAGGGAAGGTGAGTAACACCCCATTTCACAGATGAGGAAAATGAGTCTCGGAGAGGCTGTGCACCTTGCCCGAGGTCCCACGGTCAGTATGTGAGCCTGGCCCCCGCACATTTAACTGCTATCCTCTAGCATGGTCGCTGAGTGGCTGTCTTACTCTGGTGATGTTCACGAATCTGAACTTCAGTTTTCTACCTAGATAGCCTAAGGCTCAGATGAGAACACGCAGAGGTTCTTAATTTGATTAGAAGGTAAAACCAGGCAACAGATTCCCCTTCCTCCCATCAACAGAATCTTGGTGGGGGTAGGAGGTGGGAAGGGACAGGAGCCCGGTCTAGGAAGGAGGCACCAGAAGTGGCCTGCACATCTCCCTCCTGGGACACCTCTTCAGACACTATCACCAGTCAGGGTCCCAGGACATGAAGGAACATGGAAAGCTGGATGTGAGGCAGAGCAACCACTGAAGTAAGTACACACAGAGACTGTGAGAAGCAAAAGCACCACATGAATGGGTGAGACTGCTTCACTCTGCATCAAGTCCATGCCCCTCACACTCCTCACAATGCCCAATAGCTGCCTATTTGGAGTGGCTTTCCTTAATAAAAGTCTGTAACTGGGGAAATTACTAATCCTGTGGCTTTCATAAAACACAGAGGTCTACCAAATGTTTGCTTTGGCAGATTTTTTTTTTCCTCCCAAAGGGCAGCCCATACAGTCCTGCAATAAAGCAAGCTTTGTTCTAAAGATTTACAGTGTTTTCCCAGTGAAAATTCTAATTGACAGCCATCAGGCAAATAACAATGCATGGCAAAGAGAGCTCTAGTTTCAGCCATTCTTCCAAGATCCGTCTCAAAGAAGCACTCACTGCTTAGGTTTCCTGGACCAATGTTTAGTGTAGTCTTTATTTGGGCACATTATGCTTGGATATTAGAAGTTTATCATTCAAAGCAGTCAAATCTTAAAAATCAAAAGAACTTCCAAGTTCAAAGACAAGAAATTTCATTTACTTCCCAGGCTCAGAATTACAGGTCCCTCCACAAATATGCATATGACACAAAAATGCAACCATGCCTTTTCCATGTAAGTGGGGGGAACCCTAAAAAATGAAATGCATAATAAGCTCTTCAGAAACAGTTGCATAAGGATATTAAATGCACCATTATTCAATGGATTCATCACAGGATAAAAGTTCAAATAGCTGAGGGAATGATTTTCATATGAATGTTGGGTGTTGCCAGTCACATACAAGAGCCCATCATGGATACAGAGAATCAAGTGACAACAAGCAAGTACGGGGAACAGTGAGTGACAAGGTATAGAGAGGGCTGTTCAGATAAGGGACAGACATTACTGGATGCTTTTTCAAAGAAAACTTTGAAGATTTTGTTAGGCTTTCTTCGTGGAACTGTCAAAAGTAGCAATACAATTGTAAATGAGTGGTCCTCAGGGGCCACGTCACTGCCATTTATAGGCCAGCTGCCAGTGGCTGCCCATGATGGGAAATTAGCATCAAAGAAAGACCCAGAGTTACTGGGCTGACACACAGCCCAATGAAAATACTCTCAAATAAGGTATGACACCCAGCAAAGTCACACAAATCAAAACCAAAATAAAAACTGTCTAAAAAGAACAGTAGCAAATAGAAATCTTCCTTCTTTCTGAACCTTCCTGAATCTCTCGCTTTGCCAATGTCTAGTCCCACAGTGAAAATAAGCAAACATGCATTTCCAGTTGGACAATACAGATTAAGGAAAGTGAAGCTGGTGAAAGAGATGGAAAAATAACACAACTTATAATTTATCTAAATAAAAAGCAGAGAAAGCAACTTATTCTCCCTTTTCTAAACAAAAAGCAGAGAAAGGAACCAAAGGAGAAAAGTGCAGCATGAATGGGCAGGACCCCCAGACAGGAGTCAGGGGGCCTGAACCGTCATGAGTTTGTGTCTACCACAAACTGTTGGTTGATAAGTCCCTTAACCTTCTGACCTTTCAAGTCCTTCTCGGTAAGGAAAAAAAAAAAATCATCTAGATCAGCAGTTCTGAAACTGCACTTCTTCGAGCTCTAGGGTTCTGTGGAAGTGCCTCCTCTGAGGAAGCCGCAGCAACACAGAGTAAGATGTCACTGCTCAGCCCAGAAGACTTCAGAGCTGATCCATTTCACATTCTAAGAGTTAAGTAAAGCCTTTTGTTTAAAAAGTTCTATTACCAAGACAATTGACAGCTAAAATGAATTAAAAACATGAGATCAACATACCTTACAGCTTTTTAACCTTTAGAGTTATGCGGTTTCTATGGGCTTCTTTGGAATATTGCTTTCAGAATTAACTAGCTGATTGGCTGGTTAATATTGATCCTCAAATCTGTATAGCAGGTTCTCCTACTTAAAAAATGAGGAATCTGCAACTCAGTTAAAACAAGTAACCCCAAATTATACAGCCCAATAGTTGACAAGATTCAAACCCAGAAATGTCTGACATGAAAACCATTAAGCTTGATTCTGTCGATAAAGAATAAACTTCACCGTGAAAAACAATTGGTTACCTTATTATTACTGCAATTGTTTTCTCCATGGAACATCAGGTTCTTCAACTGTATTCCCTAAAAGAAAACACTTACCCTGGTGAGCATAAATGAATAGCCACAAGTTCGACCCAACAAGCAAATCTGTTCGGTACGGGAAAGCCCAAAACGTTGACAAAGCCTCCAGGGCAATAATGGTTGTTAAGAACTTTCAAAGCAAACAAAACTCCTAAAAAAGAATAAAGAACACACAAATATCAACAATCCAAATATAGGAGCATCAACATTTACAAAGAAAGCTAATTAAAAGTAAAAATGATTATTCGATTACATCCAACTTTGTGCTTTATAACATACCCTATTCCTTACAACCCTGCATTCAGTAAAAAGACAATGTTAAAGGCAGTTGTTCCTTTGATGTTTCTAAATATGGAAGTCCGTATTGGTGTTCAGTATGCTACTAAATACGCTAACACCTAAAATGTGAATAAAATACTAGCAATCGTATTAAATGCCAGTGAATTTTACGCTATAAAATAGTTAAGCTATCTAAATTTTAACTTAAGAAAAAATACCAGTAATATGTATTTTTCTAACCTCTATGGAAAAACATGTTAAAGGCAGGGCATGTATTCTTTCTTCTCCCATAATTAGATGCATAAGGATACATCTTGGAAGGAAAGGGAAAGGATGTCAGGAAAAGCAGACGGAAGGATTAGATGTCCTTGTTTCAGAACTACTTCTCTCCTCCCCTTCACAGTCTAATATTTAGAATACCTAGTTTAAATCCTGCTGGCAATTTTGGTCCCATGAAATATCTGTAAAAAATAACTAGTGAGGAAAAGACGAGAGACAACACATCACACAGCTAACGTCATTCAGACTGGGTTCAAATCCCAGCTCTATCACTTCCTAGCTGTGCAGCCTTGTGTAGTAACCTCACTTCTCTGGGTCTTGGTTTCCTCAACTATAAAATCAAGACAATCCCTCAACGGGCAGCAGGTGATCAGAAAAAAAAAAATTAAAAATAAAAAAAATAAAATCAAGACAATCCCATCTCCACATGGATCTGCTGCACAAATGAAATAGGTAAGGTTATACAGAGTGACCATTATGGCTCCTGCAACATGGCAAGCATGCCATGGCAGAGTGTGATGCATTTATTAACAAAGTCATCAGGAGGCATATGCAGGACAGTTCTCCAGGTGGCATTGGGCCTATGTAGTTCTCCCCCTCCTTTCTCGCTTGTAGTTCACAAGAATAACTGTGGAAATGTGCTGGCAATACAACGCCCTGAGATAAAAAGGGGCTGGCTGAAACAGCCTAGTACTCTCCTTGAACAGGATGTCTTTCAAAGCTTTGCCCAGTGATTCATGTGATTCCCAGGTTTGTACCCGGCTGCCTCTTTGAGGTTCCTTATCTTCATGTAAGGGGCACACACAGTCAAGATCCCAACAGCCCTGGGCAGCTTTTTGAGCCTAGAAGGATGGGCTCACAATGAAACCCAGGCTCTTGTTGTCCCTTGGTGCCTAACTGTAAACACTAAATCCGCTTCATGTAACTTGTTGCATGAGTGTGCTGTGGTTCATCAGGTACAGACAAGTTGGTGACCAGAGAGAGCACACTGAGTCTGCTTCATGCGCACACTCATCTTTTTAGAGAACTCCCTATTGCAAATACATCTGTGGGTCTTTCTGTGACCCTACCATATGGAGCTGGTACATGTTGCCAATATGATGTTTACAAAACCACCTCCCAGCAGGTCCTAGTGTAGACTGTCAAAGAGTGAATAATGCAGCGTAATGTAGAATGCAAAAACTAGTCTCTGCTATGTTCCAGCCTCTTCTCCAAGATGCAAGTCTCAGCAGCCCTTGACCACTCAGAATTTGGTCCTCTCACCAACTAGGGACCCACACTTCCTAAAATTACAGCAGCCGCACCTCTCTTGCTTCCTTTATGCATGCAACCTCAAAATTTCATCTCCCTTACCTGAGAAACCTACAGCACAGCTCCTTTTGAAGTCAGGTTCATCCATAAATTCAGCAACAGCAAATTGCAAGAGCAGGTATACCACTCCAGTAAGTACGGAAAATGTGGTGATAACACAGGCAAACCATCTACTTCCCAATCTTTTTTCTAGATGTATTCCTTTCCAGAGCATGGATGCCATATTGAAATATAAATGCCAATCATCAGCATGGTGAACGGGAGACAGCAGTAATCGCTGCCAGTCATTTTGCTGGTAACACCTCTCCACGCTAAGGCAGGAGCTATACAGTGACTTCAGAGGATTCAAGAAGAACCAGATGTTGAGGGCCAAAGTTGCTAGGGTGACAGGTGGAATGTTATTGATCCCAACATGGAAGATTTGAGAAAGGAGCAGAATAAGTCCGGTATTTATCCCTCTTGATCTCCGCTGCATGGCCAGATATCAGGGAAATAGCTCAGCAATGGGAAAACGTGGTCAGGTGGTCAGGTTTTAGGTATCCGGAGAGATAGACAGACAGCTGAACCTAAAACACAAAATACATGTGAAAAACCATCTTTTAAGAATTATTACATTGATAAGACACACTCACTTCAAGATAAATTCCCATGAGGTAAATGCTACTTCTCATTTTAACAGAAATATTTATGTTCAACATCTTCAAGAGTAATAAATAAGGTGCTGACTGACATCCTTCCTTCATTTTACATTCTAGAATAGAAATTTTATCCCAAATCCCAACGAATCAGTTAATGGACAGATATGTTTTTCTCTGACAAACATGTCATGAAATTAACTTGACTTCCTTATATACAAACATGTAACCTCATGAAAAGCCTATAAAGACAGGGTGCAAGCATTTAATGATTTCTACTCAGAATCCTGGCCAGGATTCTTTACCCTCTCCATTTTCTTTTAAAGAAATATTTGATTTTGATATGTTGGAATGAGCTTGCTCCCAAGTTTTTAAACATCAACAAGTTTTAAGACACAAGCACACATTACCTTCAATCCCAATTTCCATGCTGCCAGATTATCAACTGTCTGAACTCTATTTTCACAACTTAAGCTTTTAGTTACCTACAAGCCAAATCCTGGATTGAAAGACAGACCTTGTTTTTAAGAGGCTCACTTTCTACCAAGAAATAAACCAACAGCCAGCACACAATGTTCCAAATGGAGTAAGAGAGAGAACCCAGAGCGCAGGCACACAACGCAGCCTGAGGTGGTGATCTGACTACCGTCTTAGGGTGATCTGGGGTTAATGACAATGAGAAGTTCCACAGCCTACTAGCCCACTTCTCCACCCCGCTGGACCTGGGCTGGCATTGTGACACGCTTTGGCTCACAGGATATGGAGGAAGAGATACTACATGAGCTCGCAGCCTACACTTCAAGATGATTTGTAGGCTTCTCTCTCTTGAAACCATCTCAAGCAACCATGTGAACAAGTTTAGGCCAGCCTGCTGGGTAATTAAGAAAGGTACAGACTCCGGTCACCCTGATGGTCCTGGCCACTAGCCAGTTACCATCCCAGAAGGGAAGCTGTCTAGCTGACCACACGTACAAAAGTGAGTCCAGCTGAGCCCAGTCTTAATTTGCTGACCCACAAAACAGTGAGCTAGATCAATTGTACTTGGTTTACTTCACTGAGCTTTGGAGTGGTTTGCTAGGCAGCAATTACTAATATAGGAATTACTACCTTTGGGACTGCTATGGTTTAGGTGTTTATCCCTCCAAAACCTCATGTTGAATTTTTTTTTTTTTTTTGCTCTGTCACCTAGGCTGAAGGGCAGTGGCATGATCTTGGCTCATCACAACCATTACCTCCTGGGTTCAAGTGATTCTTGTGCCTCAGACTCCTGAGTAGTTGGGATTACAGGTATGTGCCACCATACTTGGCTAATTTTTGTATTTTTAGTAGAGATGGAGTTTCACCATGTTGGTCAGGCTGGTCTGGAACTCCTGACCTCAGGTTATCTGTCTGCCTCAGTCTCCCTAAGTGCTGGAATTCTAGGCGTGAGTCACCGCACCAAGCCTCATTTTGAAATCTGATTCCAGCATTGAAAATAGAGCCTAATGGGAGGTGTTTGGGTCATGGGGGAGTATCCCTCATGAAAAGATGAATGCCCTCTCTGAGGTCAGGGGTGAGTGTGTTCTCAGCCTTATTAGTTCCTGCCAGCACTGGCTGTTAAAAGAGACTGTTAAAAGAGACTGGCACCTCCCCACTTCCTTTCTTCCTCTCTCACCACATGATCTCTGCACATGCCAGCTCCCCTTTGCCTTCTTCTATTGCAAGTGGAAGTGGCCTGATGCTTCCATCAGATGCTTAAAATTTTGAACTTCATAGCCAGCAGAACCATGAGCTAAACAGACCTCTTTTCTTTAAAATTACTCAGAAGCAGGTATTTCTTTATAGCAATCCTAAATGGAGTCAGACAGGGAGGGACTGGTTTATGCTCATGAAAAGAAGCTAGTAATGGAAGAGATGCAGGCAGAGACAGACTAAAGATGCAAGAGATTAAAAAAAAAATCAATGCTTAGAAGGAAGAGTCTTTTCCTCTTTTTTTTTTTTTTTTTTTTTTTTAAGAATAAAGAAGAGGAAGAAAGAGAAAGAGGAAGAAGGAGAGAGGATGGGGGTATTGCTTTATTGCCCGGGCTAGAATGCAGTCTAAATATGGGTATGCCTATAATTGTCCTTAATAATGGAGACATGAAAGAAAATGAGGGAAGAGAATAGCAAGGAGCCAACCAAGATTTCTTTTAAACTTCTAAGTTGATATGATGTGGTACTGATAAGAGTGTATATTTTGTATATTTAAAGTGCAGAGTTCTATAAATGTTAATTACATTTACTTGTTCCAGATCTGAGTTCAAGTCCTGAATATCGTTGTTAATTTTCTGTCTCATTGATCTGTCTAATATTAATGTTGAAGTCTCCCACTATTATTATGTGGGAGTCTAAGTCTCTTTATAAGTCTTGTATGTCTGCGTATTCCTGTATTGGGTGCGTATATATTTAGGATCTTTAGCTCTTCTTGTTGTTGCATTGATCCTTTTATCATTAGATAATGTCCTTCTTTGCTTCTTTTGATCTTTGTTGCTTAATTGTAACTTCTGCTTTTTATTTATTTATTTTAGCTGTTTGGTTGGTAAATCTTTCTCCATCCCTTGTTTGGAGTCTTTGTGTATCCTCGAATGTGAGATGGATCTGGATGCAGCATACTGATGGGTTTTAGTTTTTTATTCAAATTGCCTGTCTTTGGATTGGGGGATTTAGTCAATTTAAATTTAGAATTAATAATAATATATGTGAGTTTAATACTGCCATTAGCTGGCTATTTTGTCCATTAGTTGATGTAAATTCTTCATTATATTGATGCTCTTTTTGATAATTTTTTTAGAAAGGCTGATACTGTTTGTTCCTTTCATATGTGTAGTGGTTCTTTCAGAAGCTCTTGTAAAGCAGGCCTGGTGGTGATGAAATCTCTGAGTGCTTGCTTATTCACAAAAAACTTTATTTTTCCTTCACATGTGAAGGTTAGTTTGGCTGGATGTGAAATTCTGGGTTGAAAGTTCTTTTCTTTAAGGATGTTGAATATTGGCCCCCACTCTCTTCTGGCTTGTAGGGTTTCTGCTGAGAGATCTGCTGTAAGTCTGATAGGCTTCCCTTTGTGGGTAACCTGACCTTTCTCTCTGGCTGCCCTTAGTATTTTCTCCTTCATTTCAACCCTGGTGAATCTGACGATTATGTGCCTTGGAGTTGCTCTTCTTGAGGAATATCTCTGTGGTGTTCTCTGTATTACCTGGAGTTGAATATTATCCTGCCTTACTAGGCTGGGAAAATTTTCCTGAATAATGTCCTGAAGCGTATTTTCCAGCTTGGATTCATTCTCTTCGTCACATTCAGGTACACCTATCAAGTGTAGATTAGGTCTTTTCACATAGTCCCATATTTCTTGGAGACTTTGCTCGTTCCTTTGTATCCTTTTTTCTCTAATCTTGTCTTCTTGTTTTATTTCATTGAGTTGGTCTTCGACCTCTGATATCCTTTCTTCTGCTTGATCAATTCGGCTGTTAAAACTTGTGCATACTTCACGAAGTTCTCCTATTGTGTTTTTCAGCTCCATCAATTCACTTATATTCCTCTCTAAATTGTGTATTCTTGTTAACATTTCGTCAAATCTTTTTTCAAAGTTCTTAGTTGCTTTAGATTGGTTTAAAACAAGTTCTTTTAATTCACAGAAGTTTCTCATTATCCACATTTTGAAGCCTGCTTCTGTAATTGGAACACACTCGTTCTCCATCAAGCCTTGTTCCGTTGCTGATGAGGAACTGTGATCCCCCGCTGAGGGAGAGGCGTTCTGATCTTGGGCATTCTCAGCCTTTTTTGGCCGTTTTCCTCCCTTCGTTATAAATTTATCCATCTGTGGTCTTTGAATTCACCGTCTTTGTAATTAGGTTTCTGAGTGGACGTCCAACTTACTGATTCTCAGCGCCGAAATCTGAGCAACCCACTGCACTGACCAAATCAGCGGCGTTAAGATTAATGGTGCTTTTCCGACTCTGCACCAAGAACCGTCGCTCCAAGGCGCCGGCAAAACCGCCTCGCCGGTCACAAGAGTCGCGCTGGCGACCCGTGGGGCTCCTCCGCTGGGAATCTCCTGGTGCGTGAGCAAGAAGAATTCATGTGAAGGTGTGGCATCCTCTCATTCTTTGCGCTTTCAGTGGGAGCTACAATCCCGAGCTGTTAGTGATCAGCCATCTTGGATCTCTCTTTTCCTCTTAACAGAAAAAAAAAATTAGGTGTATCTGTGGATATTAAATAGATTAGGGGCAAAATGTTGAAAAAGTTCTCATCTAATGGTTTCTGTTTCCTCTATGGAGATTACTTGGCCCCAACCAAACAGGTAACTCACTCCTATACCCCAAGGATTCTAACTTGGACTGCACACTGGACAATGCATGAGCTTTAAAGTGAAAAGGGGACACAGGATTCCCTAATTTTCTAGCTCTGTGACCTAGAGCAAATCACTTAAACTTTCTGAACTTCAATTTCTTTGCTTTAAACTAAGAATCATTAAACCTCCTTCCCAGGATTACTGTAACATGCTTGGAATAAAACAGGTAGAATAAACAGTAGCTACTATTTTCATTTCTATAAAGTAAACTCACTTATGTGAGAATTAATTCCTTTGCAAATGGTAACATCCTAAAAGACTCAAAGGTATTCCTATGCCCCCATATGGATTCTATAACTTTGGATAAATCTTATTTAGCCAAACACCTCCCATTATACTCTATTTCCAATACTGGGTATCAGATTTCAACATGAGGCCAGGCCAGTGGTTCACATCTGTAATCCCAGCACTTTGGGAGGCTGAGGCAGACGGATCACCTGACGTCAGGAGTTCGAGACCAGCCTAACCAACATGGTGAAACCTGGTCTCTACTAACATTTATATTTTTCACATTAGAACTCAAGTCAATGTTCAACTCTCTACCTACTGTGACTTTTTTGCAATT